GGTGGGATGAGAAAGAATGTACAACACAGAGTCTTTGTTGCTTTAGTTAATCTAAGGATGAACAGATAGTAATATGTTGTATCTTCCTTCCTTGTTGCCATTGCTGTGTGAAAAAGGTAGGACTCATTCACTCCTAAGCACATAAAAATATGGGTAGGTTCCATCTCAGCAACAAAGGTGAATTGTTCAGTTTCAGCATTTGCAAATGCAGATGTCTCCTGTGTATCATAAAGAGTACTGTCCTTTAGAGTATGTGAGCAGACAGCAGTAGATCTGACAGTTTTGTTCATTAGCATTTGCCTGTGGGTAGTGATCAAAAGTGACTAACATGCCAGAATGGATATTTTCTGCACCAATTTTTTGATTTTTAACACTTTGGGCATTTTGGAATATTTCTTCAAATGTCCTGAAAACTGGATTTTCTGCTGCACTGAAGTGAACTCAGCAGTGCAGATGCTGAGGGGTAAATACATATACTTCATGCTTGCTCTGAAGCTGATGATAACATGCTCTAGAGTTGATGATAACAGATAATATTTTCAAAGGACTATCTGTCAGCCTCGAATAAGCAGAAAAATATATGCCCCAATCTCCTTACCTTCTGGCTAACATTTCTGCAGTTAAGAACTTTCCAATGATAGAAACTGCTGTCTGGGAAAATTGGATCTAGAAGGTGTCTCACTCTGCATCAGGGAAAGGAAATAAAAACCCTTCTTTATCTCTTCTCTTTCTCTCTCTATCCCAGAAAACACAAACAAAACTCAAAGAGAAGAAGAAGGGGAATCACCACTTGTTTCCTGTTTTCTTCGAATCACTTTCCCATCCTCAAGTCCAGATGTACACAAAATAAAAAACATATGGGTATAATGAAAACTAGGTTAGGAGTCCCTATAATGGCATTAACCCTTACAGGGATCAGGCTAATTTCTCATTTCCATATCATAGCAATGCTACCTACTTAGTGCAGTAGGTAGAACAGTTGATGTGGTGGAACAGTTATTCTCTTCTGCTTGACTGTAGAGGCCTTGTTGCAGAAAGCTGTCCACCAAAAGTATGCTTTTGGATAATGAATCCTCTGTCTCTGTGTCAGTTCTGCATATGGAAAGATAACTGCAATGGCTGTTTCAGAAATATGTCTTCTCTCCTAACAAATCCAGCTGTATTTGTCATAATTTTGACAGAAAAGCTGAAATATTTTTCAAATGACAACTCCCCATTAATGCTAATTAAAGGACATTGACAATATGATTGCAAATATTCCCATTAATGTATTGTCTTAGAGCATAAAATCTTTACATTTAGCCACCTAGAACAATTCTTTCCAAGGAAATTAACTTTTTTGAACTCATGTAGACAAAAACAGCATGCCATACAATAGAGAAAAAACTTTTACCTGATAATGTCACTTGACCACTGCATCTTCACAAGTGATCTTCAGTCTGGCTCTTGTGTGCAAATAATTAGAAGGGGCAATTTCTCAGTTGTACCATGAACATTAGTTTGATTTATTCTGTCAGGAAAGAAACAAATGTCTTCTGTCCCAGGAAGGTGAAATGAAACGTAGAATATTTTACTGTTAGCTTATATTATAATATGTGAGTCGTTTTTGCTTAGTTGTATTTTCTTTTTAAGCAATCTGTTTTCTTATTTTTCTCTCTGTTCCTTTCAGATAGTTTTGGATACTGCTTTCATATGTAAGATATGAAGGATCATGGAAACAGCTTTACAAAGGTGTTTCTCACTGTTCTCTTTTATTTTTACCTCAGGTAAGCATTTAAATACTGTTAAATGTTATTCATATGTTTATCCATACTTCTAAAGCCAAGATATGCAGAATATGCTAAAAGGATATTTGGTTTTTTGTGTAAAACTTTAAATGTGACTGCTCCACATTGCTGTTTTTAATTGAATGAAGAGAACTTGCAAATGAAATGTTGCTTTTTTTTTTTCCGTAGAAGTATGAAGAAAATTCTTGCCACATTCTTATTTATGGAATTGTATTCAGGAATTGCAGATGTAGATAGAATTATTTATTTGAAAAGTTGGGCAAACAGTAATGGGTTTTAGCATGAGTAATATTAACACTAGAAGCAGGTTTTTTTTAATCCATAGAAAACAGAAATACTACATTTGGCTAGCCAGTCATGTTATGTTAGTTACAGACAGCAAGTGTGCAGTTGACTTCTCTTTTACACTCTCACTGATACGTGGGACAGTGGTTACACAAGTATTAAAGAGTGGAGGATTTTTATTTTACATCTGCCATGGGTTCTTGGGAAACACCTACAGTCATGGAATATAAGATTAAACTTATCAGTAGAAAATAACTGAGTTCCAAATTAATATTTTTATAATGCCTGTAATTTACCAAGACAGACCATCTAGCCAGCTCTGATTTTCTCTTTTCAATGGCAGTTTCTCCTGTTTATCCTTCAGTGAGCAACTTAACCCTGATACCTTTTTAGCTCTATCATGAACTTGTAACCATGGCTTAAAACTGAAAATACATCCTAACCACATTTACTATCCAGTAAACAAAGAGTGTTGTGGGCAGAACAATTCTAAATTGATTAGCTAGGGTGAAAATATTCGTTGATCACTCAACTGTGTTCACAAAATGAAAGTCAGCATAGCAGGTAATTCATGACAAACTCATATTATATTACAAAGGCCTATGTTATAGTGACTCCCTGTTAATGAGTATAAATTACTTATTTGCTAAAATAAGTGAAGTAGGATTCTCAGAAGGCTTAATCTCTCAATTGCAGTGGAAAACTTGGTAAATCATATAACCAGAGAACAGCAGTTTCAAGCTGTGAGTGTTCTGGAAATAATCTGTAATCATGATGGACTCCTTAGACATAGGGAGATTCTTAGTGAGAAATCATTACCATAGATATTCTGGATGCTAGATACCAATTTTCTGTTATAAAGGCGGTAACTATATGTCTATCTTAACATTTCATTTCTGTATCAGTTTTCAGATATAAATACATATAAGAATGTTATAAAAGTAATGTATCTGTGATACAAATCATCTCTGAAAAGTGTTTCAAAGATCTCTTATAGACTATATTATCCTGGCATTTTTTGTTGAGTATTTCATCACATCTCATCTCTCTGGGACAAAGACTTGTGTTTTCAAACTTTAACAGTAACAGTAAAGCAACCAGTAAACAAAGAAAAACAGAAAATGAAGAAAAGTTTTGATGAAATAAGAGTTGTAGAAGAGTTGTTGAATTTGTTTTAAAATAATATTTGTTGTTCTGTGAGAAGGGAAGTTTTTTGCACTTCTTTTACCAGATTCCTCTTATTGCTCAAACTCTGCTCAGTTTTTTCTGCTTTTCCCTGGGAGGTCAATCCGATTGAGGTGATCCAAGATGAACGATTTCTTATTGGCTGTTAGGTTACACACAGTGAATATTGATACTTCCTAGAAATATTCTATTCCCAGGTTTCTCTACCTTTCCAATGAACTTGTGGGTCCTAAGGCTTCCTCTACTGCTAATAATGAATTTATAGAACCAGGTCTCAGATATTTAGCAAGCTGCTTTCTACCACTTAGCCCAGGTACATCTTGGGGGTTATGACAGTCCAGAGTTACTGTCATGAAATAAATTGGCATAATAACATAAATGAGTGAAAGTTCATAGTATCTCACTATTAAACTAAATACATTTTATTATGATAGTTATGATACAGATTAAATAACATTTGACATAAATCTAAAACCATTAGCAAATTGCATGCTAACTGCCATTAACTAGTGGTATGCTTCAACCTTTCCTCCCTGGTCAGATATAAATCTGCCATTTTACATTTACATCAGTATTTGTTTCTGGCTACATTTCTATTATTTTAAACATTGCGTTGCACATTTTTCTATTTACTCATTTTGCACATGGGTATGCTAAAAAAACTACCAACCATTCAGCTTCTTAAAGAACTCATCATTATTCTGACTGAAATATCATGATGGCATTGAATTCTGACATTTGTGTGGTTACATACATTAACAATGAAAATGCAGTTCCTAGCATAGAAAATAAATGATGATCCTTTATTTCAGTATTTGTGCCAGACCACTGCACAAAACAGACAAGTGGTAAAAGCTAGTGGATCATATAATTATACTTGAAATACAGTAGGGGGAAAATGAACATATTTACATACCCTTTTTCAGATGAATAGCTCAGCAATGTACTCAACGTAGACAGTAATAGTGATGAGTGCGGGAAGTACTGAGTTCTGTGTACTGCTAAAACAACTTATTCAAGTAACGATGGAGGTGAAAACTCTTTCAGAAGTCGATTACACAATCAGCTAAATCCAATTATAATTGTCTTAAATACCAGTACATCTTAATTTCCAATTGCACTTAAATTCTATATTATGTTAGCAGAAAATAAGACTGGAGTTGTACTTAGTATTTCTTTCTAAAGTATTTGACATTGTAGTGAAGCTGTACATGCATTTTTCAACAAAGTGTGTATATATTTTTTCCTAATTAGAAAAAAATATGTATAATTTTTCTAATTAGAAAAAAAATTGCAAGCAGTCAAGAAACTTCATGCTTCAGGTATTAGAAAGCTCAGACAAAAGACGAGAGCCCAGTGACCAAAATCTACCGAGAACAAAAGCTATGGTGTTAGAAAGCAATTACACAATTATTTTAATTTGATTCAGAATTTACTATCACTTGGGAAATCTTTTAGAAGCAAAGTGAATTCTTTCAGCCACTATTATAGCTGATAAATTAGAGTAAAAATATTTCCACTGACTCCTTGCAGACTTGACCATGTCCCTACTGTGTTCCTGTAAATAATGCTAGGTTTGCAGAATAATACTGTCAAGACTGTGAGGGGCATTCCAATAATATACTTGATTTATTACTTTGAGCTATAATCAAGATTATCAGGTCAGGAGGGAAGGGAAAGTGGGGTAGGGGGACCAGAGATGAAGTCATTTGTCAAATGCATATTTATGTCACTACAGGAAAGAGCAAATAAATTGGGATTGGTATGATGACACACAATTCAGAGAAGAAACAAACAAGGAAGTTTAAGTTACTAGTAATGGTGAGTAAATTATACAGTGTATACATATTTAGAAGTCAATCCTAACAGAAATATCAGAAAAGATGAGAGCTGTCTTTAAGAAACCCTCATCTAATGACTTCACTTTGCAGTCACATGGCCCTTGCAAAATAATTACAATATTTTCATCGGGTTTTAGCAACTTGAACTAAATTGCAGTCAGCATTCTGAATGTGTTTTTTTCCCATAACCTGGTATATTTTATATTTAAGTACTTTTAATTTAAGCCAGAAAACACAGAAAAAGTTGATATATAAGCTTCTGTATATTATGTATATGATGTGGAACAGACTTTTTGGTTTGCATTCTTATGTTTGATGTTTATTCAGTGAAATGTTTATTTTACTGAAGCATGAGGTCTCTCTTTGACTCTTTTAAAATCTTTTAGAGCACAAACTGACAAAATTTGTTCCTCTGTAGTTTTTCAGTAGCCATCAAGACCTGCGTGATCAAATGGAAGTACGTGAAAGTCAGGTTATAGAATGCAATAAAGGTGAGGCTAATAAGTAATGTAAACTGACTATTTTTTTGAAGGGCCCACATGAATTACCAAACGGCTGAAGCACTGAAAGTAGCAGTAACATTTCATTGTGAACTGTCAGTCTTTCATTTCCAATTTTACTCCATGAAGTAGGTTTCCATAATTGGTATTAAAGATATTAAACCATCACATCAATGACTAGTTTAATTATACACTTAGAAAGAACTTGAGAAAATAATTCACATTTTTTTCTTTCTGTATGGCAAGATAAATTTTATAAATTTACGTTTTTTCAGAAAACCAACTTTATTTGATGGATGGTTCTGTAAAAAGAGAATATTAACAAATAAACCCACTAATGAAACAGTTGAACTTTGATAAGAAACCTATTCAAGATTTAGTATTGTGCCTCTTAATACTGATACTCTGATATTCTGCCATTTAGATGCAGCAGTGAACAGGCTTTTCAAAAATACCTGTGAAAGAGGCCAAATCTTGATTTTAGTGATATTGATGTAAGTCATGATAATCTTATGGCGAAACAAATATGCGTGTGTCAGCATTTTCCAGAACATTTTTAAAAAACTCACTGGATATGGAAAAGAGAAGTATCTCTTGATATCTTATATTTCACTTGATATCCATTTCCTAAAAGATTCTTTCTTCTGTTTTAGAAAATTATCTTTAATGCACAGTATTTCATTACTTCATCTGTTCCTAGACAGATCAAATAAAAATATCTTAGTAGTTCAGTGCTCATTATCACTTGATAGCAGACTGACATTTGATGAACAGCACAAGTGCTCATTCTTTGCTCATTTTTTGCAAGCTCTGATGCTTGCATTTAACACCATTTTATTTCAGTGAAGCCCTCTAGCAATCATTCGACATTCTGGACTTCAGGTATCTACTTCAAAACGTGGTTAATGTGCTGTAAAAACTGCAGAGAGGTGATTTGTTAAGCTATTTCTGATCCTTCTTGAAAGAGTTGCCATTACAAAAATTATCTGTCAGGAGGTTGCTGTCATTGTATATACTGTGTATGGTGTTAACAGTCTCTGAACAGCAGATATGAAATCATACAGATATCTATGCATATGTATTTTATCACATAGAAGAAAGCAGAATATTCTTAAATTAGTCATCCTTTTGTAATCATTCTTTATTGAAGGTATTTAATGAAAATGGCCTACTAGATAAGGAAGTTCAGCGATGCACGGCCAGACCAGGATCTCTGTGGGATGCTGCCTAAGCACCTTGACATCCATGGGTGTGTTCACCACACAGAACTAGCAGACTAAGAATATATGTTCTTAAAGGTTAGTATTTATTATTTGTATGCACACAGTGTTGTGCTTTTTGTGTGATTTATGGAATTACAGTTTTCAACTAACTTCATTTTGTAGATAAGAGAAACCATAAATTGATGGTAAACAGAATGTCACTGTGGTAGCATTATTTGTGTCAATCACATCTTCATGGAAGCCCAGCAGGAAGATTCAGGAGGGTAAATAACATTGTGTATCAGTTCTTATAATTTCTAATTTTTATCCTTTCTCTTATATTTGCATTGTAATTTGCATTCATTTTCAACTCAGTAAACAGTTTCCTTTTCCTTTTGAATGGATATCACTAAAAGGCAATAAAGAATATGCAAATTTGCTGTGCTATTTTGTCCTAGGTAATGTAGAAATTGTCCTAGGAAATGTAGAATAAATCTGTTTTTATTCTGATAATTGTACTGGAAACACTTCCAGTGTTTACTTAGGCTAAAGAAAGTTGATGTGACTGATTAAATTTTATACATGTAAAATGAGGTCTAGAAAGGGAGATAGCAATACAGACATTATGGAGGAGCTGTACAGAACATTGTCTTCACTAATTTATGTAAAAGTTCTCCAGATTAAAAATTAGGCATGGATGAATCTGTTCCAAATATAAGATTCTAAAAGTTTTTCTCTAAGTAATTCTCTGTGAATTAAAGCAATTTCCCTTTCCCTTTTCTCACTTCTTTCTCTGGGATTTTTTTTTTTCCACTTCTTACATTGTCTTAATTACCTTTAAATCATCTTGCCCTCATCACAAGCCTCTGAAATCAACAGGTAAAATGTCAAAGTCCTATACTGGTGGGGCATAAAAAGGGGAGGAGAGCTCATGTGATTAAGAGTTCCCACCCCATATTTGCCTTTAAACCAAGACATCAGGCAAACTAGTCTATTATGAAGCCATTTGCAAAAGAGTAGTGAATTCTTTCTTATTGCAAAATACAGAGATGGAAACGGAGCCATGAAGACAGCAACTAGCACTAGATACTAAGTTTGGTCATGCCACTTCTTTAGAAAGCAGACAGGACCATATTGCAGCAGCTTTCTACTGTAGAATAAGTTTTTTCACAAGGTTATTAAACAGGTGAGGAAAGCAGCTTTATGCTGAACCAGGGACACAAGGAACATTTTGCAGAAATATACCATAACAGTAGAAAGTTGGTGTACTCTGTTTTTCAGTTTACTCTTTTACAGTGTTTCTTTGCTGTTTTCCATCTGAAATACAGTGGTTACCATGGAAACAGCAGTGTCATTTACATGGGTTTAAGCATACTCATGTCCACAGGTACAGTAGTAAGCCAATTTTTTTAATGATTAGGATATACAGTTTGTATTTGGGACACACAAAATTACAGATGGGAGAATAAAATGAGAAGATGTCAAGGGTCCTAATTTTCACCCTGCAAAGAAAAAATATTCATGATCATTCAACACTGGTGAAGTTGCCTGAAATTAAACATCAACTGGAAATAAACAATTTGTATTGTCCTATTTACAGAGAAATAGTGTCAATAACTAATTTAGCTTCGATTTTGATTTTACTAGTTCCTGTTATTATAACTTAGAGCAACAACTTCTGGTGTGAATGTTTGCTCTGGGAAGAATGTATTTTACTTTTGTGATCCTGCTTTGTCAAAATGCTTTGCTTTTGTTAATCTCTCCCTTGCATGTTTTTCCCAGGAGCTTGCTTCATGGTTTCAGAAGTACCTCAACAACCAGCTCTACAGTGGTGCATTGTTTTGACTTGGAGACAGCCTTGTTATATTCTTAATGCTGTGTGGAAACATAAATGGTGAAAAGAAAGAAAAGTTATGTACAAGGATCCTACAAAGAATTCTTATTGGGTTTGTAATGAGACTACATAATTTTTCTATATAAGAATTTTTCTTACTTTCGTAAATTATAGAATTCTGTTGGTTGATAGACATATACAAAGGCTCCTGAAATATAAAGAGTCACTGGCCAGTACGTCATAATATTTTGGGTCACAAAATAGTCCTACCAGATATGTGGTTCAGAATTTTTGAGATATTTCAACTACTTCATTTGTAGTTGTAAGCAGGGTGTCTCCTCTTAATTTAAAAACTTAGAATGTTGTTTAGGTTTATTTCTGCATGTGGTTATTGTCCACACTTTTTGTTTCCACCCTATTGTAGCAATGAGAGGGTTAACTTCTAATCACTCCTGAGTTTTCTAACAGGTCATGTACTAAAAAATTGGTTATGCTTTAATTGCCAGCTTACAAAATGGGTAAGAATTAGAGGATAATAAATTTTCACTACAATAAGTCATTAAAAACATTTTAGATACCATAATAAGTAAAGTATAAATGCAGGTTTAAAAATAGTGGGCTACTTGTTCAATATAGAAAGACAGAGTATAGTAGAAGGTTGCACTGAAATATTAATATTTGAAGGAATTAATTGTAGATTCATAAGATATAAAATACCAGACTTAGTATGTAGGATGAATTTATTATTTGTGGAGGAACATACAAATGTAAACTCATTATGTCTTGTTAAAGAAAAATTGCAGCCCTTGTCATTTATATGATGAACTTTGGCTTCATAACTGTTTTCAGAATTTGAGCAATTAACACTGTGAACTTTAGTCTCTGCTTCATCTGTATAAAAATGCATTTAAAATAACAATTTATTTGCATTTCATTTGAAAGGTTACCATTTCATGACCCAGTAAGTGACCCAGTCCTGTTTTCCAACTGTTGATCTCTTTCAAGTACATGAGCTTCAGATGTTCATCCATCTGTAGGTTGTATTCAGATTATTTACTGTTCTATTTTAATATGAGGCAGCGTAAGGATATATGCAGTGCAACTTCCCTAAGCTTTGGACACAGATTTCAGTTGGTTTTATACCGTGCCATATGAATTAGAGAGAATGCTGAAATAAAAAATGTTTTTAAAGAATTATTAACCTTGATAACATTATGGGGCATTAAAACTAATATGAACCCCTAGACTGCATTTTAGATTGCATATTTAATGCAAAAATTATTCTGTGTACTTTAATCTTAAGTCTCTTCAAGCTATTGATCTCTTCATTTAGTGTCCTCCAAGCCCTTTCTCTCTAAGCACATTTATAAAAAAAGTTGTTCGAACTTTACTGGGTACATCTCTTTAGGGGTAGGTGCAATTGCATAAGAACATGTAAAGGAAAGCTAGAACTGGTTTTGCTCAGGAAGAACGCCTTCTCAAATGGGTTAGATGGTTTGGTTTTTTTTTTTCTTCCTTCTGCATTTCAGAGAAAGTCTCAGGGAGAAGCTGTGAGCAAGCTATCTCCCTGGTACGCAGAGAGAGAACATGTTTGCAGACACGTACAGGGCTGCCTCGGGCCAGAGAGGGGAGGAGGAGAGAGAGAACATACAAAAGGCCTTGGAGAAGGCGGGGCATTGCATTTTTCCCCTGGGGGCCTGATGTGTGTAGCATCCTTAGGAAGTGGTCCTTGCATCTGAAATAAACCTTTATTTTCAATCTTTCCACTGCCTTGGCTTTCTTGGGAAGAATACCAGCATATGTTTTACCTTACAGTTTCTGTCAGTGTTTCTCTGTTTTTGTCTGTTGTCTTCATCTTAGCTACTACTATTTCCTTTCTCACCTCTCAACATCTCATCTTTTCCTCTTGCCTGAAATGGAATTTCCAATATCTTGTTTCTATTATACCTGAATATAGTCTGTATTGTTACAAGTCAGTGAAAACCAAGGGTGTTAATCCTTTCTCTCTGGAAGAACACATTTATGCAGAAAGGCCAATGACAACTCTAAACTTCTGATTAGATTGCCTACAATTAACTACATTTTCAGTAAAATACCTAAGGCTCATTGAAGGGCTGTTGCATTATTCAGAGGATAATTCTCTATTGGGACTGCATTAACAATTTTAGACTGGAAAATTTTTACATTAGAACAGCTTTTATTTACATCTTCTGTGGCACTGGACAGGTGGTCATTTAATACATAGTAATGGTATATGAGAAAAGAGCAAACTTCTGTTGTAACCCAAGCTGAATACCACTTCATATGAAGAGTAGCTGCTACAAATGCTGTTAGGAAAAGAACCTAAAATGCCCTTCAGTGGTTAAAGATCAACTAGAAAAGTCACTTAAAATCTTAGTCCAGGGAAACAAATTCCGAGAAGCTGTTCTTCCCAGCTTCCCTTGGGACAATATTTTTTCCCCAAGGGTAAATCACTTTTTTTTTACCTTGCCCAGATAAGGATATTGTCTGATGGAATCTTGTTTTGAGTCAGAATCTTGGGTTCAGATTGAATAAAAGGAAGCAAAAATCCAGATTCTGCAACATGTTGAACCAGTCAGTAGGCACTTGAGATAATTCATTTTATATGAGTTCTTGGACTAATACATTTTTTTCTTTTCTATCAAGTTTTCCAAATCTCTTAGATGTATATCATTTTACTAATGAATGTTGAAAAGTATTGATATTTTTTGTTCACAATAACTAGTTTAACTGTTGATAAATGCATTTCAGCTTGAAAAACCACAATTTTCATGGAAGAAATTAAAATTGTTTTGTATTTTATTGGAACCTTTATTCTATTTTTATTTTAATTTAAAAAGAAGAAATGTAGTAATTTTGTTTTTTGATAGAAAGGTAGACCCTATAAGTGGGGATTTTGGCTCTAATTTAAAATACTTATCTAGAGAAATAAATTGTTAAAGCTGATTTTAAAAATTCCCTTAAATAATCAGAATTTTTAACTGTGAGATCGACCATAATTAGTTTATATTTTTGCCATTTATTAGGTACAGAAAAGCAATGTTTTATAGAGTAAAGGAAGAGTAACATACATATATTTTGTTCCTTCAACAGACGCACATCTTGCTGATTTAATTAAGAGGCAGTAACACATTATGACGCTTCCCTTTGCTCTGCTTAAATATTACCCTGTGTGACAGATGCTCATCTCTCCTCCATTCTGCTGTTGAGTCTTGTCATGTGAAAGGAAGGATTTCCTTGAACCCTTTATATTTGACCAAACTATTAGCACCCCTAGGGAAAATGAGACCCTTGCACCTGACCAGCCTGTCAGCACCCAGTTGTAGGGTCCCCACTGAACAGCCCACTGTATCAAAGGCTAGTTCAACTAACCTATTCTTGGTCCCATGACAATGCTGTCGCCACTCTTAGCTGGGAAAACTTTTGATG